AATTGATCAAATTCATAATAAAGAGATTTGGTTTTTCTTTTTTTTTTGAATATTACATAAGATGCATCGTTATTTGCAGAAGAAATTGTTTCTGCATATCGAATGTTCATTTCTTAACGTTATGATCGCTGTCAATGATATCGCTTTTGTTGAATTTTATTTGAAAATCAAAATTTAATGAAAAGAAAGACGAAACTTCTTCTTCTGTTCGAAGAGTCAACTAACACATCTATTTTGTCCCAAAATGAAAAAAATTTTCGAAAGAATTTTTCCATTTTTTTTTTAAATGGAAACACCAAATCGACTGTGATATGTCTTTCATTTCTTTAAATGAAATCTTACTCTATTCGTTAAATTAAATTGATATTTGCCCTGATTTGAACAAAAACGAACATGACTTACCTTTATATTATCGAGATAAAAATTATTATTTCGAGAAATAGGAAATTTATCGATAAAATGATCAAAATTAATAAAAGATAACATCTTTACTTGATATAATAGCAGCTATAATCTTAGAACATGAATAATCTTCGATTCTTGATGTTTTGTATAACTTTTTTGAAATTTTACAGGTTTATATCAGTTCAAATTGATAAACAATAGTTCAAATGTTAAAGAAATGAATGATTATGTTTGAATATAAAGATTATTCCCTGTTCTATTTCTTATCTAGTCTTGAAAAATGATCATTTATCTGCAATAGATATTTGTGATGGCATTTTGTTTATTTTAAGTACGATTATGGATGAACTCGCATTATTCTGACTTTTTTTCTTTAGTATTTTCTGTCCGAATTACCCGGTATAGAAAAATACTCAGTTAATGAAGTTCTTGTTTAGAAATTATAATTGAATTTTTTGTTGTGGAATCTTTCTATTATGTGGTACTTTAGTAGGGTGAAATTCATCATATATTTCCTTTTTTTGATTTACTATCAAATTGAACAATTTCTAAGAATTTGTATTGACAATGATGCTCTCTAGCATGTTACTTTTATAGAACTGACTATCAATCAATGTTGAATAAATGTTTTTTTTTCATTCATCCTTTTAAATTGATAGATCGATATCGTTTTATCAAATGTTTGAGTTTGATTCCGTTATTGTTTTTGAAAATGAAAGTTGGAATAACTTCTTCTTTGCATTCTGGTTGAAACTATTGATCTGTTCAGAATTTCTATTCGGAAAATTTGTGTTTGATATGTTTCATTTGTGTCTATCGACTTCTCAAATTTCTTTGTTAGCATTATTTTTTTCACATCTCATCGAAGTTTGACGATGTTTCATCATACAGACAGAAAAAAAAGCGATTCAATTGTTCTGTATGCAGCAAAAATAATTATTTCTTAAACCATGTAACTGATTGATTAATGGTGCCAAACTTTTAATCGATACCTATCGATATTTAAAAATACTCATTCTCAACATGATCCAATATGAGACTAAGCATTTATTTTTATTTTTATTTTTATTTACTACAGTCTCCAAAAAGGATCGGATTCCACACTGGATCGATTATAAATACCCTCGTATATAATTGTACAATTTGATCATTCAATGTGCATGAGTTTTGTCGATATTTTTCAAAATATTTATTGGTAAATCAGTAATGATAAATCAGAAGTTATGTTCCATGTTTTTGATCGGATGGACGATATATAAAAAAAGAAAGAACAAGACGTATTGTAGAGAATTGTATCGTAGAAGTAACGCTGTCGATATTGATGGCAGGAAACGAAGACGTCGAATGAGTGAATACATGAACTGCTTCGCTATTTATAGTCCTACATGGAAGAGATCGATATCTATTTATCTTTTGTTTAGTCTAGACTACTTTTCGTCAAACTTTTTGATCGATGATGATAGTGATATCTAACTCTTCACTTATCAAGCATTTCCTTTTCGGCATCTTTTTGTCTTCTATGATCTTCATTTAGTAATATCCTGTTTTCATCACTTAAAAGAGATAGTAGTATGCATTTTTCTTTTCTAATCTAATGACTCACTGAGACATGATATGATGTAGTCAAATATAGGGATAACATGTTAGCCAGTAGAAAAAAATCTTACTATTCACAATAATAGATGGCGTTGAACCGCGACGTACATTAAGAAATTTTATTTATTGTATCACAATCAAGAATGTATATGACCCTCCTTTCAGGCGAGGGAATAACAGACGTAGAAAAAGAGTAATTATTTTGTTTCCCTAAACGTATGGTTTGTATTCACTCCTTTTTACCATATGTTGTAAGGGTCATAATCAGCAACGCTCGTCGACGGATTCGCTCAGCTGCTTCTCGTGGAAATCGTGCACTGTCGTTCTAATGAACTTGTTATGCATACAATCTGTAAAAGTTTGCGCCAGATTCACGATCCTCGACCATTATTTTCCGTCGATCAACCCTAGCAAGGAACGTTTATTTTCCCAAATCTGGTCGGATCCTTGAAAAACTAACATCATATTCATGTAGTGGACCCTCATTACCGTTCGGTCAAGTTTTATTCATGTCTATTGCGGACTGGCTAAGGACGCCAGGACGCTTCTACTATGAAGATAAGTCTGAAATAATATACACAATATATATTCTTTTCTAATAGAATAGCGTCCTAGTGTTTCATTAACTAGTATCTATTGTGAACTGGTTGAGGACGCCAGGACGCTGCTAATATAGAGAAAGTTTAGAAGTTGACCAAGAACAAAAATTCTTTCGAAAAGACAAACATTTCCTACAACTTCACATTCAATGTTGATTGTTGAATTTTAATTTATTGTTATATTTAGTGAAACACTTATGAAAGGTGATTCGAAACTTTTCAGTTTAAAAGCATCTTTAGCATGACTTCATAAAAATTAATTGATGCGTTCGAGGCAGAATTTTAGAATTGCAGTGACAGAAGACTGTATACAAAGTCAAAGATCGTTCATTTCTTAGTTAAAGTTTCGGTTTATCACAAGTTTTCACATTAATATTATTGAACTAGATCACCAGATTTAAGAAGATAACCTATGCCCTTGACTCTAAAACGATCATGAGATATACAACTAGTGGCGTTCTCATTTGAGATTTGCACTGACAAAAGCATAACTAAATTCTGAATTCTATAGCTAAGATCCATCATTTTCTATGCTTGTACGTGCTACATACGTAAATATAGATAACACTATCACCAAGAATTTAATACTTGTCATAAAATTTCCTAAATGATGTTTTAAGAAAAACATCTGCCAAAATGATTAGTTGTGTGAAAAAGTAAAGCACAAAAAAATGCTAAAAAATGACATTCAGACTTATAATTCTCCACCCCCGATTTTTCTTCGATGGATTGTTATACGAAAATCACTTGTATATCTTTGCCTGATTCTTGTACCAATGTTTACGGAGCTTTCCTGCACGAGATAGAGAAGAGTACTTAAAGACGAATGGCGCATCTTTTATCGGATATTTCGTGCGCCTTTGAACTCATCTGATACGATGTTTCTTTAGCCCTGCAGACATGCAAGCAAGCAAGCAGACAATTTAAACTTGTAAAACTCTACGAGAAAGAAAATAAAAACTTGGTTAATTAATTAGTTGAAAAATTTTTTTTTGAGCTTTGAACCCATCCCAAACGATGTATCTTGGATTTT